ATTGACCTTGCAATTGCAGAAATTCTTGTTGGGCTGCACCTTGTGCGAAAACTGTGTCTTGGTTTTACCATAGTGTACCTGAATGTAGAAATTAGTAATAGTCTGTTAGTATACTTTTTACCATAATATACCATAATGGTTTCCTACCATACCAAATCAAACCATATATTTATCTCATTTTACCATATGGTAATTACATCAAACCATGTCTTATAACATATTACCATATGGTAACGAAATAAAACACAACAGGACGTATGTTTTCCTCCATTTTTATAGCATGAAACCATAGCTTACCACACATTACCATATGGTAATAAACTAAAACACAGCAGGACTTGTGGTTTTTTTGCTATTTTACAACATGAAACCATAGCTTACCACACATTACCATATGGTAACAAACTAAAACACAGCAGGACTTATGGTTTTTTGCTTTTTTACAAGATGAAACCATATGTTACCACACATTACCATATGGTAACAAACTAAAACACAGAAGAACTTATGGTTTTTTGCTATTTTAGAAAATGAAACCATAGGTTACCACACATTACCATATGGTAACAAACTAAAACACAGAAGAACTTATGGTTTTTTGCTATTTTACAATGTGAAACCATAGCTTACCACACATTACCATATGGTAACAAACTAAAACACAGAAGGACTTATGGTTTTTTGCTATTTTACAACATGAAACCATAGGTTACCACACATTACCATATGGTAACATACTAAAACACAGAAGGACTTATGGTTTTTTGCTATTTTACAACATGAAACCATAGGTTACCACACATTACCATATGGTAACAAACTAAAACACAGAAGAACTTATGGTTTTTTGCTATTTTACAACATGAAACCATAGCTTACCACACATTACCATATGGTAACAAACTAAAACACAACAGATTCTACACCAGTTCAGCAATGCATGCTAACGATTCGGTAATGTAGCGAGTTTTACTACAATTTTCACATGAAGAGTGACTGAAATACTGTTTCTATTGTTCTATGGATGGATTTCGAAGAAAGAAGTGAGGTTTTACCTTGATATTTTGTGCGAAAACGATTTTTGAGCCTCGTTGAAGTTGGAAACCCTTCGTTTTTCGACGAAGAAGCGAGAACAGTGTATCGTTGAATGATTCTTCGAAAAGCTTTGCGAAAATCGTTCGATTTGAAGTTTTTTTCTGGAAGTTTTTGCTGCGATTTTGGTGAGAGAATTGAGTATCGGGAGGAAGAATGGAGAGTTAGAGAGCAGAGGAAAGTGGAACTGTCGCTTGAAAAGTGAGAGAAAGAAGGAGAGAAGGCGGGACGGTTGTCGCTGTCACGTCTGCAATTCAAATTGTCAGAGACGTGATTACCTTTTTGCCCCCGCGTGTATTTAATTGGCATGATCTGACGGCTGGGAAGATGGCGCGATGGACGGTCAGATGGACGGTTACTGACCGTTACTGATAGGTCGGTTACTGATAGGATCCGGACCCGAGTTGAGATGACTGAAAAAAGTAAACAAAAAATAAAATATTTTGTTTACTTTATTAAAACCAAATCAGATTAAACAACACCGATGGATCAACAAAGTTGGGAGTATTTTTAGTATTTTCGGTTTCATACAAAGAGAACAAAATTGGGAGGATAACAACTTATATTTACGATTATTTATATCTTAGTTATAAAAAATCATCAATTTTGAAATTTAAACTATCATCTCTTCAAACAATGACATGAATCATAACTATGCTTACACTAAATAAATTGTTTATATTTCTAAATTAAAAAAATACAGAAGACTAAAATCTAAAAATCAAAGAACTTTCTATTATAGTTAGCTAGCCCACTAATTCCCACTACATATTTCTTTGGTGTTTCATATTTTGTTTTTTATATTTTAATTCAAATTTTAGCTAATGGAAAAAAAATACACATTAAATATGTATTTCAAATAATTTTAAAAATTTAGAATACCACTCATAAATATGTTGTATGCATATAACCGCCAGATCAACAGATACGACACCAAACTAGTAAATTACATAACAGCTATCTATTGTATGTATCTACATAGTACATACCTCTTGTACCCCCACATTCACAGCATTGACCGCAAGCTCACAGAAGGGCAGATTCAATTTGCGCAGTATAGCCATTGTCGATGCAGGGGATATAGGCGATATGTCGAGATCGTTGGTGATGGTCCACATTGATGGCAACAAGTACCCTGCCGGAGCCGCTCCTTCCTTTCCAGCCGCCGGCAATTTAGGGTCTCGTATAATGACATGATTGTCTGTGAGCTGCGTTTGAACTTCTACAGGAAAAACTGTGTAAGAACCTAGGGATGACTGAGGATGTTTGATAAGCATATCAAAATACTTCATTTCTTCGAGGCCTAAGGGATGGTTTTGGTAGCCAAAACCGGCTGCAAGCATTGGGTTCTGCAAAACCCGTGGGCGTACAAGGTATTCCTCAGCTACAAGATCCTGCAAGCTCAGGTACAGGTTTTGCATGCAGCCTCTGGCGTACAAGGCATAAATCGCGTTGCCACGGGCTTTCTGCATTTGTTTGAACACATGGCCAAGGTAGGGATGGCAACTTTGCCCATACCCATGGGTTTTTTACTATCCAACCCAATTGGGTTGGGTATGAAATCCAAATAGATGGATATGGGTAAAGCTTGATGGGTTTGTACCCATACCCATTTACTTTGGGTTGAGTTGGGTTTATATCAAATGGATTTGGGTTTGTACCCATGCCCAAATACAAATTACAATTTGGTACCCAAACTTAATAGACATGCATATTTAGTACCTAAATTAAATTTTTTTTTCATATAAGTCCTCAAAATATCGATGGAAAATTACGTTTTGGTACCTAAATTTTTTGGTCTTACATTTTGGTACCTAAACTTTTCAAGTTTTGCAAATAGGTCCAATTTTTGCATGTGTAGTTAAAACACCCTCAAGTAAATGGATATCCATATCCAACCCAAACCCATTTAGATTATGGAAGCCCCAAACCCAAACCCATCTATAAACCGAGTCCGGATCTGGTGACTAAGGGGGGGTCCTTAGTCACTTGACTAAGGCCCCCTCAGCCTTTGGATTGATCTAATGGTTCAGATAAATCAACTAATTATTATTAAATGAGAATGGTAGTTTTGGCATTATATAAATTATTAACTTCTATTTTTTTATTTTGTTTTATTTATTATTATTGAATACTTTTTTCCATCTGCAACATACGTCTCTTCCCTTTCCCTTTTTTGCAATGTCCAGAGAGAGAGAGAAAGCCGTGGCGGAGGATGAGAGAGAGACAGAGAAACGCGGCGGCGCTACGCTGGAGGAGAGAAAGGCGATGCCAACGCCGGCGATGATGGAGATCTTGATGGCGCCGACGACGGTGGAGAGAGGAAAAGGAGATCGCGACAGAGGCGGCAGCCTTGGAGAGAGAGAAAGTAGATCTCGGTGACGATGGAGAGAGAGAGGCGATGGCGGAGAGAGAGAGGCAGTGGCGGAGAGAGCTTCGACGATGATGGAGGAGAGAGAAGCGACGCGGTGATGGAGAGAGAGAGAGGTAACGACGGCTGTAGAGAGAGTCGGCGGCGTCGGCGGCGGCAGCGGCGGTGGCGGTGGAGAGACATCGTATTTTGAAGGAAGAACAGTGATTTGTATAGTTTGTATGTTTTGTAACATTAGTTTGTATTGTTAGTATTTTTGTACAAAATGTCAGTATGATTTGTATAGTTTGTATTTTTTGTAATATTAATTTGTATACTTTATATGTATTGATTTGTGCTGCAAATCACGTCGCTTTGTATTGTAAGTACTAATAATTTGTATACATTATATGTATTGATTTGTGATGCAAAAAACAATACAAACATGGTTGACAAAAATGACAAACATGTGGACAAAAATAACAAACATTACAAACAATACAAAAGAAACCAACAAACATTACAAAATAACAAACATTACAAACATTGTAAACAAACATTACAAACATTACAAAGCATACTACACGTACAGAATATCACTACTTACAATACAGATGGGTAAACTTGTATTACAAACAAATGAATACAAAGTATACAAATCATAACATAAAAGTATACAAACTTGAATAACAAATACAAATCAATGAATAGAAAGTGTATAAATCATAACATAAAGTATACAAAATAGACAAACAAACATTACAATGTATACAAAATAGTAATATAAACATTACAAACATCACGAACTCAATACTGTTGCCGGAAATGTCAGTATGGTTTTTATAGTTTGTATGTTTTGTAATATTAATTTGTATACTTTATATGTATTGATTTGTGCTGCAAATCACGTCGCTTTGTATTGTAAGTACTAATAATTTGTATACTTTATATGTATTGATTTGTGATTCAAAAAACATTACAAACATGGTTGACAAAAATGACAAACATGTGGACAAAAATAACAAACAATACAAAAGAAACCAACAAACATTACAAAATAACAAACATTACAAACATTGCAAACAAACATTACAAACATTACAAACAAATATTACAAAGCATACTACACGTACAGAATATCACTACTTACAATACAGATGGGTAAACTTGTATTACAAACAAATGAATACAAAGTATACAAATCATAACATAAAAGTATACAAACTTGAATAACAAAAGTTACAAATACAAATCAATGAATAGAAAGTGTATAAATCATAACATAAAGTATACAAACTAGACAAACAAACATTACAAACATTACAATGTATACAAAATAGTAATATAAACATTACAAACATCACGAACTCGATACTGTTGCCGGAAAATCATCCACCACCGTCTCTGGTCGCCGGAAAACTGCTCCGCCGTCGCCGGAAAAGTTGACAAGAACTCTCTCTCTCTCTCTCTCTCTCTCTCTCTCTCTCTCTCTCTCTCAGCTTTGGAGGGAAAATTCCCAATTCCCTACAAACAAAGGAACGCCAGGAGGAAGGCCCTCTCTCGTACAGGACCTTTGTTGGGAAAATTCTCAATTCCCTACAAAAGAAGGACACCAGGAGGAAGGCGCACCTGGTCGGCAGGTCCTTGGCCGAAGAAATCCGAGTGCCAGCGGAGTTGCAGAGGATTCGTCGGAATCCAAGCGCCGGCAAGTCTTTGGCGCACGGAAGAAGACAGCAGGCAATTTTTTATTTTTGTTTTAATTAATAAATAAATCATGTAATTACTATTTTGTCCTTCATTTAATTGGATTAATATGTGCCATTGGATTTTAATGAACTTCAATGGCTTAGATTCACTTAGTCATGTGACTAAGGAGACCCCCCTTAGTCACCTGATCTTGGCCCTGCTGCTGCACCTTCTTCTTGTTTGACGAAAACGGCTAAGCTTGGTTTAGCGGTCAACTCTTGTTTGGCTGCTGTGCGCTTGAGAAGCACATCTGACAGAGGCGTCTTGGATAGCAAAGCCAGCATTAACAAATCCAAGGCCTACACAATTAAGCTAAAGAATGTCACATGCACAATTCCTAAAAGCGTATAATTAAGTAGCATAAAAGAACCCATTTACGATCGAATATATTCTCGTTACTCTATCATTGTTCTTTATAATCTAATCAATTAAGGCTTGAACAATATTATATATGTTGTAAACCAAGAATTATATTAGAGATAGAAGGATCACCTCATTCACGCCAAAATCGAAAGATAACTCTTCGACGGCTGTGGCATGACGGACGCTGTGCTCGGAAAGGAACGAAATGGTTGCTGCGGTGGAGGCCGGTTTCACTTTTAAGTCGTCGGTTATTACGAGTCTACTTAGTCGTTTCACGAACAGGCCATTCTCCATGTCATTACATTGCATAGGAGCCTTGATATTAATTCTATACCGGCACCTACCACAAACATCCGTGTTGTCGTAGCTGTATGGCGTCATCTTACAGTAGCTTGACCGCCAACGGCAACAAAAGAAGCAGGGCTGCTTATTATTGGGGTCGTCGTCGATGTTGAGTTTAAGGTACTGGCAGTATACAGCGGCCCCGTTTCGAGGTCGGAGTAGCATCTCCTTGCATTGGGGTGCTGTGAAGTGCCGCGAGTCCAGGCTCTCGACGCTCCGGTACAAGTTGCCGAAACAGCCTAAGGTCGGAACCGGAGGTTGCTTGCGACAGAGGTTGATTACGGTGGCAATAGGCATCGTCAGATAGCTGAACAGAACATCGGCCAGATCCGCGTCCGCTTCCATGAATAGAACCGATTTCTTCTCCCTGTCAACACTCGCCTTCACCCGTATCGTATTAACAGCTTCCGCACAAGCCATTGGAATTTCGGAAAAGCGGTATGTGGTGTTGTTCTGGTGTTACCAGTACTTTAGCTTGCGTTGAATATATAGTAGAGAATCTGATGCGGCAGAAAGACGGGAAGAAGTCGAGGAGCCTTCACTGCACGTATCGAGTTCTGCGAGGGGTTTGATTGGGTCAGAAAGAGAAAAGACGTACAATGCATTCAATTCATGAATCATGCATGCATGAGGCAGCAGGCTCGAGAGTGGAAACAATTCATGCGCGCTTTTTAAGTATACCAAGTACCGATACTAGCCCACGCGGTAAAAGTGAAAATAATGAAATGATGGAGTGATTAAGCCACCCTATTCCCTATATATAGCTAGAGTTAGCATTTACCCAAGTTGTTTTTTTTTAATAGTGTTTACCCAAGTTAGCGTTTACTTTTTTAATAATTTTACCCAAGTTGTTCAAGTCAAAGAAATTGGATAAATATATTAGAAAGTTAAAATTCGGTAGGGTATCGATATTTTAGTATCAAATATGAAAATGTCGAATACCAAATAATCCTCTAAATTCAATTACAATTTCAATACCAAAATGAATTCGATATTTCATTCTCAATCCCTAAAATTTGGTTCGGTATCGATATATACCAAATTAATTTCATTCAAAATTACAAATCGAATGTACAAACACAAATACTAACTCCATAAATCATCTCAAAATATATAAAAATAAACAATGGTATGGTGCCAACGCTCGTATAAAAAAAAAATTCAAGTATAATAACAACACACTATATCAATATAGTGACTAAAAGCACATGAACAAACTAAAACATGAGATGACTAAGCAAACGATAAACACACTACAAAAGTAAATAACATTATGAGCTTGGTATGAATCGTCAAATAGTGAGAGAATAAAATATGTACAATAATTAAATGATCGTGTTGGTGGTTGAGGAATTTGTAGTAGTGAGTGAGGGAGTCTAATGGAGAGGGATAAAATACAATAATACATATTAGCTTATATTTCGGTATTGATCGGTATTTTAGTATTATACTATTTTCAATCCAGTAATTTGTAACACCAAATAATACTTGAAATTAAATCTCAATCCCAAGAAATAATGCGTGTATTCGGTAATACCAGATATCGACAAATTCGATATGGTATTCTGTATATCCCAAATACCGATACCAAACTTTCATCCCTAGATAGGATCACAACTCACAATCACAAGTTGGATTGTGCATGATAAAATATTATTTTATACATATAAAAAAATAATCGTGTTGATATATGATCAGGTTCCGAGTATTTGCAAATGTCCACGAATAATCATTTTTCTTTATAAATTCTAAAAAACCATATCGGAGATTAATTGTATCGAAAAAGTCAGTGGTGAGATATTTTATATTGAAATCATGATTCAACCGTTTCATACCACATATCGGTTTCGCTTCCATAAGAAAGTTTTTTCTAGTCCAACGGTACGAATTTTTTAATCCTTCATAAATTCAACTAACATGTTAACCATTACGCTACAGTAGGATTGGGGGAGTGGAACGAACTTTCTATGATATGATTTTCTGGTTGATTTGTTATGAAACTAGGATTATGGGATTGGGTGGTGTGATTTTGGACAAAACTTTCTGTAATATGGGTTTCTAGTTGATTGGCTGTAAAATTAGGGTTTTTGGATTGGGATTCTCAAATTGGAGTCCTGGAATTGGCGAGAACGAAGATGGATCGCATCAGAGGATGAAAACAAAACGAAGAAGAAGAAGAAGATACGAATAAGAGGGAAAACTTGTATTTTTGTTCCAATCAAACCAAACATGTAAAATGTATAGTTATCTTTTTTTGCTAAAAAAAAAATGTATAGTTATCTAAAGTTAGAGATTTGGATCTCCCGGCCAAATGACCCCATAGTTAGAATCGGAGTCTCTTAAAGCTAAGTCAAAGGAGTTGCGAGAGCCGTTAACCTCACCGATTTTGCATAGAGTCAGTCTCTTCAATTTAAATGTTTTAGTTAAACTTTTAAATACCCCATAATTGTGATGTTGAATAGGGAGAATAATGAGGAATCAATGTGTTAATAAGACGTTTTCGGTCATGTCCCCATTCAAAACCCAGCAATGATAGCTGCTGCAATAAACAAACCACGTCTATTCCTCTACCTAGCTAGCATCTTCTTCATCATCCTCCATCTCCTAGCTTTACTGTAACCTCTAAATTCCTTTTCACCTGTGATTCTCGAGCTGACAGCACTCAAAAGTAAAAAAATGGCTAATGACAGCAAGAAGCCAGAGCAGTTACAGCCACACCCAGTGAAGGAACAACTACCTGGAGTCCAGTACTGCATCAACAGCCCTCCTCCATGGCGTATGTATCTCCTCCCGCTTTCCTTTCTTGTTTCCCAAGTTTCTTTAATCCAAATTACTTGATTCATTTCCGAATGGTGTGGTATATGTTGACAGTCTTGATATAACTTGCAGCTGAAGCAATCGTGCTTGCATTCCAGCACTATCTTCTCACCGTGGGCATCACTGTCCTGATACCCACCATGATTGTCCCTCAAATGGGCGGCGGAAATGTAAAACAAAACCTATATTCTTTCTTGTTAATGAGCTCTCTTCTTCGTTTGATGTTAACGAATGGTTGACGGACTATTTTTCTTTTGGTTGAGATGTAGTTTGAGAAGGTGAGAGTGATACAGACATTGCTTTTCATATCAGGAGTGACAACTCTCTTGGAGACACTATTCGGTACCCGGCTTCCATCCATTGCATCTGCTTCCTTTGCCTATGTCATACCAATCACCTCCATCGTCACTGCCGATCGATTCCAGTCCATTTCAACCCCTCATGAGAGGTTTCTGCATACAATGAGAGCAATCCAGGGTTCTCTCATCATCACTGGCTGCTTCCAAGTAGTCATGGGGTTCTTGGGTATTTGGAGAAACACTACCAGGTTACTTGCTTCCTTCGTTCCTCTCTTCTTCCCCCTTGTAGAATTTGATTCCATGTGTTTCTTTCTCATGGCTTGATTATCTTTATCACAGATTTCTTAGCCCACTTTCAATTGCTCCATGTGTAACTTTTGCTGGGCTTGGACTCTATTATCTTGGTTTCCCTGTTGTAAGCAATTCTGAAATCTCTTTCCATGATATAATGCATGCAATATTGGGTCTGAATCTCTTTACATTTGTAGTTCATTCTTCACCTTCTAATTGTAGTTGGCAAGATGTGTGGAGATTGGGCTTCCACAAGTCATCATAATGGTGTTCATCACTCAGGTAGACTATAACTTGCTCCCATCTCAGTTCAATATTCCCTTTGTTCTCCTTCCTTCACATCTATAAGCCAATTTACTGCTTTCGTGACAATAAAAATTTGCAGTATCTTCCACACTATGTGAAGTTTAAGAGGCCACTTTGTGTTCGATTCGGGCTGCTAATCTTGGTCCCTATAGTATGGCTGTTTGCTAAGCTCTTGACATCAAGTGGAGTCTATGACCACAAATCTGTTGTCACCCAGTTGAGTTGTCGCACTGATCGATCTGGACTTGTCTCTGCAGCTCCTTGGTAACTACTCAAAACCAACTCAATTTTGTGTTTCTGGTAATGGTGTTTGACACTCTTCTTTGGCAGGGTCTTCATTCCTTCACCATTTCAATGGGGAAGCCCTACATTTAAGGCCGGAGAAGCTTTTGCAATGATGGCTGCTTCCTTTGTTTCTCTGTTTGAGGTGAAGGCTGGATAGACACCCTTATCTGTTCATCACCTCTGTATCAGAAAATAAGCTAACGAATTTGTGTCCGAATTGCAGTCAACTGGTACATTTTATGCAACAGCTAGATATGGTAGTGCCACACCGGTCCCTCCTTCAGTTGTCAGCCGTGGCACTGGATGGCTGGTGAGTTTTTTTCCTCCTTTCTCCAACATTTTTCTTAGTGTTGTTGATCTATAGGGTTCTTATTGTTGGGATTCTTCAGGGATTTGGAGTCCTACTGAATGGAGTATTTGGCAATGTGACTGGCTTTACAGCATCAGTGTAACTATATTGCAGTCTACCTCTACTTACCTTTGTAGCTTTGATCTCTTTTTGTCAATGGGGTTTTCTGAGTGGGAAATTTGCTGTTGTTATGAAGGGAAAATGCAGGGTTGTTGGCTCTTACTAAAGTTGGGAGCAGAAGGGTAATCCAGATATCAGCAGGATTCATGATTTTCTTCTCTGTATTTGGCAAATTTGGAGCCTTTTTTGCATCAATACCAATGCCAATCATGGCAGGCACATACTGCATCCTCTTCTGCTATGTCTGTAAGTACAAAAAATCTAATCTTTCTTGTTTACTCAACATTCAACCTAGGCTGCTAAGCTTGACAACTAATTATGCCAACCTGAGCACAGCATCAGCAGGGCTTGGCTTCCTCCAATTCTGCAACCTCAACAGTTTCAGAACAAAATTTATCCTGGGCTTCTCCTTCTTCATGGGCATCTCCATTCCACAATACTTCAGAGAGTACTTTCAACTCACTTCTCATCCTCACTCTGGTTCCAGATGGGTAAGTATGCCCACCGTCCAGTGATATTAGTAGTCCAACGATATCAGTACGTGCTAGCTAGACCCATAAAATCCAGATTAGAGACTGATCTTTTTGTATTTTGTATTTTTTTTTTGTTCTTTATGTGGCAGTTCCATGATATAGTGGTGATCATCTTCATCTCTCACACAACAGTAGCTGCCTTGATCGCCTTGTTCTTGGACTGCACTCTCAGCGGCGAGACCACCGACGAGGAGACGAGGAAAGACAGTGGGATGAAATGGTGGGACAAGTTCATTCAGTGCAGCTCAGATATAAGGAGTGACGAGTTCTATTCCTTGCCCTGCTGCCTTAACAAGTTCTTCCCAGCTCATTAGAAGAATTGAACTAGCTAAACAGACTCACAGACATTGATTTGTTCTTTCCTCGTTAAAAATTTACATTATTTTGTATCCCACACAAAATTTCTTATGATATTGAGTTTAGATAAAGAACGTAAATTTGTTTGAACCCAAGCTTTATATTTCTCACTTAAAACATGGAGGGGACAATGTTGAACGAGGAGATATAAAACATAGTTTAAAATTAATTTTTTTCTTTTTAGTCAAACTAAATATGAAAATCGATAACTTGTGGAAATATTAATATTTTAAATTAAAATATGTCAATCGGGTAGATATATGAACGTTAGTTAATAATCTTGACCATCCAGCATAACAATCAGCTACTGATTTGACAAATTAAGTAAAATTTAGAGTTATTTTAGACTACACTATTATAAATTTGAAAAAAATAAGCAGGCCTAGCCAAAAATATTAACTAGTCATATCCAAGTTACGTAGTAATTACTAGGCCCGAGATAAGTACGAGCCCATCAACTTGCAAGCCCATTTCACTAGTTTTCACGGCGTTCCACCTTCTTTGCTTTCCCTCGCGCGAAGCCAGTCACCGCCGTCCGCAACAGCAGAGGCTCAGAGCAAGTTCCCTCCTCCTTCAATCTTCATCCCTCGCGCGAAGCCAGTCACTGCCTTCGAAGCTTTTCTGTAGGAGAATTTCGAAGTTTCCGGTTCTCATAGATCAATATTTTAACTGTTGAGTTCCGGATTTGGCACCTTTGACGGACGAATGGAAGGCACTAGTGCCAAAGGAGATAGCATGGAAAAGCTCAAGGGACTTCGAATTTCTTCCCTCGAAAGCGACAGTGAGGAAGAAGCTGCTGTCGTGAAAGAAAATCGCAAAGCAGTTGACGTCGAAGATGAAGACGATGAAGATGAGGACGAAGACCTAGAACCAGTCATGCTTGGGTTTCTGGAGAAGCCTGAGCATCCGTGGTCTCTACTCCGGCAGTCATTCCCTAGCAAAGCTGGGGGTGCGCCGGTACGTTGGTCATCCTTAACCTAATTCTCTATCTCGCTGATATTCTGCTAGAAACTAGAAAGTTCGGATTTTTAAGTGCTCGAGTGGAAAATGGAATGGTTAATTTTTGTCACAGGCGTGGCTGGACCCTGTTAATTTACCCACCGGGAGGCATTGTGTCTGTGATATATGTGGAAAGCCTCTTAGATTTGTGCTTCAGGTTAGTTGCTTATGCTCACCTTCATATGGTTTTGTAAAATTGGAACACTTCATTTTGCGATGGTTGTTTTTTTTCTGTTCTTCCTTGTGACTGT